CGAGTAGTTTCAGCGTTTTCATTAGTTTTAACATCCGAAAAATCGAAGCGCAGTTGCAACGATGGAATTGTAGGCAAGAAGAATGGTGCAGTCTCTGGAACTTTAAGCGACTGTTTCGGTTTATTTCTCCTTTTAATGATATCGATATCGAGTAAATTCTGCCATCTAGATTGGGCCACGGCGGACATAGTTATAAGATCACTATTGAGCTGATCAGGAGACACATAATCTGGCTCTTCGACAACGACATCATCTTCATCAACTTTCTCAGCTTCCACAGAAGATCCAGGAAGTCCTACTTCAGGTATCATATCGTCTTTATTAATGGCCTTTAGCGACACATGCGAATACAGCATACGATTTGACCATAAAAAGATTCCTACATTACGTACATGGACGGTCGCAAGAAATTCTGCCGTCGGAGAGAAATTTAAAGATATACAAGCTTCGGGAACCTGTAAGGCACGGGATTTAATATTAATATATATTCTGATATTTTCCAATCCAAATAAACAAAATAAACAATACTTGAAATGTGAGCAAAGGAATGAGATAAATGATTATTTACAAAAAGGTTATTTGTCAAAAAAGCATCTTTTACTGGCTGCGAATCCACCTACTTAACTTTATCTATTTATTTATAATTTTGAAATAAAATTTACCTGAAAAATATCTATTAAGTGTGACGATGGTATATCCCAAGTTCGGATAGTGCAATCCATAGATGCTGTGATTAACCACCTAGAATCAGGATTAAAACATGCATCTGTTATTCGTCCCTCATGTCCTTGAAAATGTCGAACTATTTTCCTTGTGTCCAGATCCATTAACATAATATCAAAATTTTCTAAAGCTATTGCCACAAGAGAACTCTCATTGTGACAACGTATCCATTCGATTGATTCTTCTATTGTTAATATCGTTTTTGTCGTATTTATATCTAAAAAAAAAAAAATAAAAATTACATTAAAATATCATTTATTTTGAAGGAAATATAATTAATTACGGCATAAGTACTTTTTTTAGGTTTAAAATCCCAGAACTTAATTTTTGCATCTTTGCCGGCTGTAACAAGAGTTTGATTCAAGTCGTCAACCATGACGCCCTTAACAGGACCTTCGTGAGCGCCATTCTCATTTCCATAAGACGCTCTGTGTATTCCTGATTGAATATTAAATCTATCAACATGACCTGTGTTATAACCGATCACAACAAAGTTTCCACATCTTGTTAAACATAAACTAGTCGCAATAGCATTGTAATTGTTTTTAAATCTCTCAGGAAGTAACTTAAGGTCGCCCATCTTTTGAAGGTGAGATGACCATGTAGTGACCGTGCCTAAACCGGAATGAGCTGCTGCTATATTGCACCATTCCTTTTCCCTCGTTACTTCAGATGCAAGTACAGTTATTGGCGGCATTAACATTGGATCATCAACCGAGTGACTTTTTTTTCTAGAAGCTTTTCTATTAAACGAGGCTCTACCTAGACTCTTATTCAGTATTTCTGTGACAGTGGAAAACAATCGGAGGGAAGAATCGCCGCCTGTAGTCAACAGATAATTACCATCATTTCCATAAAATCGAACAATTGTTGGAGGTTCAGCATGACCTTCTCTAATCCTCAAGAGTCTACCAGCTCCATCAGCCATATCAAATATCCATAGCTTTAGAGAATTGTCAGGCGAAGATGAAACCAATAATGGTTCGTTTGGTATGTATCTCAGACCCGTGACAGCATCATCATGTGCATTGCAAAGTTGACTCTCCACCATTTGCTGCTCTAAATTCCAGAACACGATCTGTCCACCTAAACTACCTGTTGCCATGATAGGATGACCATCTGTACGAAAACTGATAGATATCACTGGACCCCAATCTTGTACTAGTTCAAAGATGGTTTCATCATACTTGAGATTATGCAGTATAATATGGCCATTATTCAAACCTATAGCAGCCACATCTATCGCAGGCGCTTGCTCCAACACAGTCACGCTACTCTGCCATCCTTTGAATGTATAGATCATCTTGGTCGCTTTGATATTCCACAGCTGTAGCTGACCCTGTTCGCTACCCAGTAGAATCTTGTTCATATAAGTGTTGGGATGCATCAGTGCAGTTATTCTGAAGATATTATTACTGAAATTTAACTCCAGCAGTAGATTTTCCTCTTTGATGTCCCAGACTTTGACGGTGCTATTCTCGTCGACAGAGAGCAAGTGTGCGCCGAATGGCAACAAAATATGGACCGCACAATCATGACCCTTATAGGTATGCTTCAACTCAGTTCCTCTGCGCCATGCGTAAATGTTATTTGCACTCGCTGTATATACATGAAACGTGTCCGTAGCTAGGCAAGTGATATCATCAACATGCATACCCGAGACACTCAGGAGAGTAAAGTGTTTACACGTGTAAGTGTGGAACTCCTTGCCTACACATGTGACAATGAAATGCTCCTTCCTTCTGAGGATATACCTCGTAACAAGAGGTACATGATTACTGACATATCCAAGCGCTCGATTCCGTACGAATATTCTACTTTGTACCATCGTATATTATGAGAGAAGACCAAAGTAAATTCAAAAGAGATTATAATACACAATTATGTTTCTCGTGGTACAACCAAGGGCGCCATATTTGAAACATGATTTATGCAATAATAAGATGTGCCGGATGGACACCTTAAGGCTTAAACACAATAGGCATAGGCAATAAGCACAGGTAACAGGGAATAACGAGCCGTCCAATCAGAGCTCTGGTGTGTAAGTTTGATTTTATATCCCAGAGCTCTGATTGGACGGCTCGTTATTCCCTGTTGCTTATTGTGTTTAAGCCTTTAAGCCCCAGATACAATGCAAAGGAATAGCGATAGTTTTAGAAATAACACGATTTCAACCATCAGAAACTGTATTTTCCAGCGTATCTAATTTCTGATGGGTTGAAATCGTGTTATTTCTTTCGCTATCGCTATTCCTTCCCATTGTGTCTGAGACTTTATAGCGTTTTTCATTGGCAGGATTGGTATGTATTCAATTTACTTTAAAGCCGTTGTGCACAAGTCGACGTGAAAATGTACATTTATGCCCGTTTCTACCAATATAAAAAAACTTTAATTTCGATTCAACTTACTCATCTTTGTCTAATTTTAAAGATTAGAAAAAGACAAAGAGTAAGTTGAACCGAGATTAAAGTTAATCTAAAATGGGCAAAAATGGGCCTTAATGGGCCTTCTACAACAAGCCATTAGTCATAAATTAGAAGTCAGAAGTTACATTGACGACTGTGATTGGTCAATTTTTAGCTTCTGACTTCTGATTTATGATTAATGGCTTATTATAGAAGGCTCATAAAAGGCCCAATAAAGACTTACATCCTTACAGGAGTTTGCGTCCTTGTGAATATTGAAGTGATTAAGAGTTAAAAACTGATAATATTGTACTAATTTTATGATTTATTAGTTTAGTAAACGTATTTATGCATTTAGAACTCAATAATACTTGATTTTTTTTTAAATTGTAATTTTAGTGTTATCGTTAAAGTTTGATTATTAACAGAGATGATGACTGCAGAGAAAAAAATTGTAATTTTTCTACAATGTATAGAATATTATACCTTTACAAGTATGCATATTTATTTAGGGAACATTTATGTAATAAAAAATCACGAATTTAATAATGTATGAACCAAATATTTATGTTAATAATGACAAATTTATATCAATTGTCGATAATGTCAGCGTTCTTTAATTACCTCTAAAATTTATTCAGAGTCGACGATCTTTAATAGTATCTCAGTGCTTGTATCGATTTCCCAGCAAACGAGAATGGATTGAAACAAATTGAAATGGATTCAGATTTTCAAAAATATTAACTCACGAATGTTAAAATAAATGCTTTTCAATCCTGAATGTATTTTTATTCATTTATCGGAATTGACATGGAACATATCTCTATGCCTTTTAATCTAAAAATAATATTAGCTTTTTCTGTGCATTGTGAATACTGTTCAATTCAAGATTTTGAATAGGAAATGCAGTTTGTCAATTTAATTGCATCCAATTGAATCTAATTGAATCTAATTAAATCCAAAAAAAGTATTCGCTATTTAAAATATACATTTGGACAGAAAAAAATTTCAATCCATTTTAATCCATTCTCATTTGCTGGGTTGTGTCATTCAAATGGAAATCACCCATGGTGCGTGCAGTCGGTTAAAATCTGCGGCACATGATGCTGCTGGATTGCTAGCTGGATTAGAATCTTGGATGCATTCCGTGTCACGTATGACGCGCATGATGCATCATTTATCCTTATTGTTTATCGAACAATGTTAAACAAGGATAAATGATGCAGTATGCACATTATGCGTGAAACGGAATGTACCCCTTACCACTGTATTGGCTGCGATACTTGCACTGACAGCACCGCAGCCAATACGATCGATAACGTTGGATCCAGTGTGAATCCAGTATAAGAACCAACCAACTACAATCGAGTATTCCCCTGTTACAGTCAAACGACAGGAGAATGCTCGACTGTAGTTGGTTGATTCTTACATTCTGATCTGGTTTAAACTCTCGGTGGAAATTAGGCCAGTGATACACCTTATTTGTTTACATTATGAATGCACTCATTAATAAAAGAAGAGTTCGTCACTTCTGTTATATTGGCCACGCTTATCCGGTCACTTACGGAAACCAATAAAAATCGAGAAGAAGAAAAAGACATTCCTGCTGGTTCTATTCAACTTTTGATAAATAAAATTATTTAAAAAGCTTACGTAAATTTACACATAAACTATTAGAACCAATTAGAGCCATGATTAACGTCTAGATCTGGACTATTGTATCTTCCAGTTGTAATAATTGTTATATCATAAAAACTCTACTCTAAAACTAATATCAGGTTTGGAAAAAAATTAATTGTAATTTGGACATTATTCATTAAGATTAATGAATTAATCGTGTATTGAAATCGTGTATTAGAAAAGTATATTTCAGAAGTAAAAAATAATTTTAATACATCTGTTCCGATATGGCAAATACTGGTCTATTGGTTCTAACAAATCCTGCAAAAATGAAGGGATTGCTGCTCGTAATTCAGAAACATGTTTTAAAGACATTGTACATTCAATATCTTCCAGAGAAGAATATTTTTGCAGGAAATTATAACTCTACAATATTGCAACAAAGAGATCCTGAATATTCTAAAAAGATCATTGACATATACAAAAGTACTTCTACAATTTCTTCTTGTCTTGATATTCGTGTTTTGCTTACCAACTTGAAATATCCCGATAGATCTATTATAAATACCAAAAAACCTGTAGAAGTAGTGATCTTTGATCAAAAGTGCAGTAAAGAAGAGGCAGATACATTCATACAGGACCATTTAGCAAACAAGTCGCTGAATTACCACTTTGTTAACCACATATATAGTGGAAGTCTGAACTGTTGTAAAAATGTAGAATATGATGTTCAGAAAATTAAAACTTACAAGAATGTAGTACTAGGTGGTACATTTGATCGATTGCACAATGGTCATAAGATTTTGTTAAGTGAGGCTGCATTGCGTTGTACAGAAAAACTTACTGTTGGTGTGACAGATATTAATATGATTACTGGTAATAAATTCTCATTAAAACAAATTCTTACTTAGCTTAAATTGATTTGTTTTATAATTTATAATAATGTTTTTGAATAATTTGTGGATAGGAAAACTATGAGATAACTTAATCATTTAATATCATTGTATAGTGGTATACTTAGAAATCAAATAAATATTTTTAGGCAAAGTGTTGTGGGAACTTATACAACCGTGTACGCAAAGAATAAAAAAAGTTGAAGATTTTTTGGAAGATGTAGATTCATCAATATCATACAATGTTGTTCCTATTAATGACATTTATGGACCTACTAAGGAAGATCCAACATTAGAAATGATAGTTGTAAGTGAAGAAACAAAACGTGGAGCTGATAAAATCAATGAATTACGTTTGCAAAAAGGTTTAAACAAATTGGACATTCATGTAGTAGAATTAGCAGGTGATGAGGGCCATGAAGAACATGAAGAGGCTAAAATTAGTTCTAGTAATCACAGAATGCGATTACTTGGCACAAGGCTTAAAGATCCTGTAGGTTTTTTCTACTGAATATTTACAATACCAATACAAAAAATTATAAAATAATTTTCATATGAAATTTTCTATATATAATTCTATTTAAATTGCATTTTGTTATATAATTTAATAATCTATTTCTTTTCTATTAGAGTGAAAGTAAAATCTTAAGATCTAGAATCTTAAAACCTTACGTCATTGGTTTAACGGGTGGTATCGCAAGTGGAAAATCTTCAGTTGCTGAAAAATTGCAACAACTCGGCGCTGGTCTTGTAAATTGTGATAAATTAGCTCATAACTTGTATTTACCAGGGACAGATTGCTTTCGTAAAATAATTGAATATTTTGGTTCTTCTATTGTCGACACAGATGGATTTATAGATAGAAAGTTGCTTGGTGATATTGTGTTTAATAATAAGGTATTTGGTCTCATTCATATTCCATAATATTTATTACATATGTTATTTCATAAAAGTACTTTATGTAGGAGCAATTAGAAAAGTTGAATAAATTAATTTGGCCTTTAATTCTGCAAGAAGCTAAAAAAGAAATAGAAAATCTTTCTTACAAGCGTCGTAATATTATTGTACTGGAAGCTGCAGTTTTAATTCAAGCTGAATGGCAAAATGAATGCAACGAAATTTGGACTTGTATAATACCACAAAATGAGGTTAGACTCTGTGTCTTACCGATAAATTATATTTTGCCTATGTATACGTATATATACTAATAAGAATCTATTTAGCTATTATATTATTTCAAATTTCTTTTTTTATATTTAAATATGTACAAAATATTTTTATAATTTATATAACCTAAATCTATTTTACAAATCCATGTTAAATGTATTTGTAGGCTATAAAACGAGTTATGAATAGAAATGGATTATCTGAAGAAGCAGCAAAATTACGAATTAACATGCAACCAAGTACCATGGAGCAAGTTAAGGAAGCCAATGTTGTTATATGTACTTCGTGGAGTTATGAAAGAACCTTAGTACAAGTAGAAAGAGCATGGAAAGAACTAATACAAGATTTAGACAAATTACAGGCTTTTCGATAAATAACATTTACCTATTCTCTGATATACAATTAGGATATTGATGCGCATTGATGAGAGAAATATTGATAATTGAATAAAGAGATAGATATTAATAACAAAAGAATACTATTTTTTTATTACTTGTTACAAAAAAGTAAAAATATTATTTAGCAAATAATATATTATCACTCATTATTAGTTTTTCTTCTTTATCTTCATGCAGCTTTATTATTAGGGCACTTAGAAACAATCGAAAATCAGCCTTTAATTTGTCACCACCATCATCCACATTGCACTTGACATGAGAGACATTAGAAAAATTAGATGCTTAAACACATACAATTAAAAATTAATTTATATACAGGATTTCTTTATTTTAAATTTGGAAAATAGAAAAATCTAATTTAGAAATCGAAATTTTGTTAGAATTAGATTATTATTGAAATACTTACAAATAATTTTCGATACGCTTGATGTAGTATTATCAGGATCAAAAAAGAATATTACACAACAATTTGGCCCTAATTTAGCTCCGCTAACAAAGTAATCATAATATTCTTTCAATTTTCTTGAAGAATCTTGCATTTTTGCATTGTATACCAGGATTACGCCATCTACATCTTTACGTATAGCTGACCAGCAATTTTTAAACCTGTTGAAATTATTTCTACAATTGCTTGTCTTTTTTTCAATTTTGCAAAAGCATGTATGGTGTTATTTACTTGTGATTTCCACTGCAGTCCCACAGCTCGAGATCTCTCGAAATGCGTTCATTATTCACTTCAATATCGTTAATTTCAAATTCTAATATTCGGACACCTTGAGTTGGACGATAATCATATGGAATTTCCGTAGCCTCTGCCAGGAAATTCGCTATTGTGGTCTTTCCGCTCTAAATAAATGTATATGCATGAATTGAAAAGTTCTCTACCATTTTGCAATTTTCACAATAGTTAACAAGATATTAATTTCGTAATAGTTAACAACATATTAATTACAAAAAAATCACCAAACATTGGTTTTCAATAATTTTTTATTCGAGTACTGTAAACTTTACAGAAAAGTAACAAGTGATAAAAATTGTTTATTTTCTTCTCATAGAGCTTTTTATAATTGTTTATTTTCTTTCTTATAGAGAATTTTTTAATAACTTTTTATCAACTTTTTAATACTGCATTTCTTTATTGGCAACTATTTTTATCAACATGAGAAAATACGGTATTAAACAATTCTGAAAAAATTCTCAGAATTTTACGAGAAGAAAATAAATAATTTTTGTCACTTATTTTTTTGTAAAGTTTATAATTCTCGAATAAAAAATTATTGAAAACCAATATTCGATGATTTTTAGTAATATCTTGTCAACTATTGTGAAAATTGCAAAATCGTAGAGGATTTCGACTCAGTTCAGTCCGCTCTATCTATACAAGAGCGCTTTGTCAATAATGGCGGGACGCCATGTATATACATATTTAAGATTTGCATAATTTTGACAAAATCTGATAATATAACGTTTTCATATATTTTTTTAAATATACGTACAAATATTCAATTGATGGATAATCTTACCTCAGTTGGTCCTATCATTATTAATTTTAATGTGTGCATATTTCACAATAGTAATTGCAAGTATATATTAACATTCCATTGTACCTGATGAATATGTACAACAATACAGAATGCATTATTGTTTGGCAATTGTTACTATAACAACCGTTGCCTAGGTATACATATACACAACATTATTAAGAAAGCAATGAAGACACATTACATGATTTGAATTGAAAAATTATATTATACAAAATGGCATTAAATGTATGATAAAAATAATTTTATAATTTATTTATATAAGTAAAAAAGTTATA